GAAAATTTCTCCACAGTAGTGTAATAAGACCAAGTATACTGTAGTGCAATATTCCAAGTACATATACCGCAGTGTAATAAGATCAAGTATACTGTAGTGTAATAAGACCAAGTATACTGTAGTGTAATGAGGTCAATTATACTGTAATATTTTCATTTTACTAAGAACATTTTGTGCAAGTTTCAAAGAAGAAAAATATAATATTGAAAAAACTATAAATTTATTATACTGAGATGCTGTAACTCAGTTTTTTAAGAACATAGATTATCGATAAAAAAATACTATTAATTTTAAGGAAGGCATATAAAATATTTTATTTATGGAAACTTATATTAACATGAGATGCTTGTAATATTTGTTGTTTATAAAGAACAAAAAGTCAATATCATGACTGGAACAATAAGGAAATAAACCGCAGATAAGAGATAGAAGCTTATAACGATGTTTTAGTCTGACTTGGACAAGTCACGACTGTGAGGGAACCAGTAAATATAGCAGAGTAGGACAGGAATGGGGCAGAGAGGAAGAGAAAAGGAGGTTTAAAAACAGTGGTAGAGGTTGTGCTGGTAGCAAAGGTAGTAGTAGAATTATTAATGGAAGCAGCAAGCAGGGGAAATAATGCTACACAGAAATGGAAGTGAAGCGAGGCAATAATATTAAAATTAATAGTAAGAGCATGTACATTCACTACTGTTTTTTTTTACCATACACTCTCTCTCAAGAAAAATATTCTTATTTCTCACTCCATGTCCTCTGTATTGGTGACCCCTCAGTTCCTTGACTCGGGAATTTCCACTCTTCGCAGTTTGTTTTCTCGTCTTGGCTACTCTTCCGGTATAATAAACTTTGTCTTCTCACGTACTGAACGGACTTTCTTCTCTCTCAAACTCTCTATTTTCGTGAAATCTCCTGTTCTCTCCCTTCTCCATAATTTCAGTCCATGTAATCTCAGCAACTCTTTCCACTCATTAAACATAAAGTGTACTGTTCACCAAACTAACATCCTTCATACTAATCTGGTTTGTACCTCTTCTGCTATTGATATGTCTGGAGTCTACTCTATTTCCTACTCCCCATGTCCTTTTAAGTACTTTTGTGAGACTGGCCACTCTCTTTCTGACAGACATAAAGAGCACAAAATAAGTGTTAGAATATCCGACACAAGTAATGCTTGTTTCTGTCACGTAGAGATCACAGTCATCCTATTGACTGGACTTCTGCTAGAACTGTATTGCCTTCCACTAGCCTTCGCGGACATCGTCTTGTTGAAGCATACCTTATTTATTACTTTCCTAATAAGATTCTTAGTCCGTGCTTTGCCTCTGTAGATGCCTTCGTCTCTCATTACATTGTCAAATGCTCCAAACTTCAGAACACTCCTGACTTGACCTGATCTTATCATCTGCTTCTCACCTTTCTCCTTCCTCATTTAACTTTATCTTCCTTTCTTCTGTCTAGGTGAGTTCCGTTCTGTCCTTCAGTCCCCCCCCCTCCTGTGTTTTTGGTCCCAACCTTGTAGGCCATTAGCTCTACTGCAGTGTTCCTTCTGGTCCTTAGATTTACTTCACTTCTACCGATACTACTACTACTCCATTACTATTTCTGCTACTACTCCATAACTACTACTGCTACTACTACTACCATTACTACTACTTCTACTACTTTTGCTTTGCTTCATTCCCATTTCTGTCTACCACTATTCCTCTTACTACTACCACTACTACCACTACTTCTGTATTTCCTTCTTCTCTCTGTCTCTTCCCTGTCTCCCTCTCTTATATGTACTAACTAAACACCGTGATTAGCCTAGCATCTTCTAAAAGAAAGAGGAAACGATGATCCAAGGACTCACCCGAGGACTTGGATCAATCCCAGGACTCATGGGACAGCGAAGCAAGCGAAAGCAGCCGGTCCCGTGAGGCAAGGATGGATGAAGAAAAGTTCTTTCCAACTACAAATATTAAATTAGACACATGTGCAACTCTTGGGTATCTTTATTGAGGAAACATATCGCCATACAGTGGCTTCATCAGTCCATACTGATGATGGACTGATGAAGCCACTGTGTGGCGAAACGTTTCCTCAATAAAGATACCCAAGAGTTGCACATGTGTCTAATTTAACATGTCGGTTCTTTGAACCATTCATCTACAACTACAATATGCTGGATGAAGAAGCATGGCAGGCAGGAAGCAAGAGCCCTGAGGTCCCAGAGGAGACACGTTGTTTTCTTGCCTCAGATCGTGCAAACGAAAACCATCAGCAAGCAACAAATTCATGTTGATTATGAATCAACACCTCGACACCCCGTATGCGGCTATAATTCACTTCGAGAGGAAATACGGCCTGAAGATATCAGTGTCCTTTAATCTGAAAGAGGAGTTCATTCTCTCTTCCCGAAACTCTGAGTCCTCTGAAGTATTGCAAAAGGTGAAAAACTTCGAAACACCAATTGTACAAACAGAAATAAAATGCAAAGAGCGGAAAACAAAACAGGTGCTGATGCACTATCCACTAGACATGCCTCTCGATATAATCCACAGTAACAAAGCTTCCTGAAAGCCGAGCTGCTCAGAGCCAAGAAGGACAACAACGTCTTAATGCAACATACAGAACATCTCCCAGCTCAACGGGATCTCGGTTGCTGTGGATAATACCTGGTTATGATGTACAAACCAGAACCTTAGGTCCTATTGTCAGTTTAAGGAAATACGCAGCATCTGTAGCGGATCTCACTCGACTAGTGACTCCTTGGGTAAACGAGAAATGAAGCTACAGAACCTCGGTGTCCAAACTGTGGCAAGAATCTTCATACCAGAAACCTAAACTGCCCAGAAAGGCATCGCTGTGTCAGGGCAGTACGGAAAATCCCGGTTATCCAGCCTCCATCATCAAGTAAATCCCTTACCACGGAGCAGCAGCCTCATCCAGAGGAGACTACAGTAACACGGAATCCAGGGTCACTTCCCCAGGTACAGCGACAAAGAAAACCGAGGAAGCATCAGCGATGGTGTCGTGCACTATGAGGGAAAAGTTCAATAGATAGGAGTAGTGAGGGAGTATATAGTAACAATAGTTTCATTGCCGGCTACTTGTTAAGGCAGGGTAAGTCCAGCTCCAGCTATTCCCCCCCCTTTTTCCCCCTCCCCGAAAGTGATAGTTTGATTGCCGGCTGCTTGTTAAGGTAGGGTCAGTCTAGCTACTGCTATCCCTTCCCCTCCTTCTTCCCCCCCTTCCCGAAAGGTGACGTGTGGGGCTCCGGTCAAACAGTAAATCACTCGACTCACAGCTCCCAACACTTCTGATCATATTTTAGTGGACTTATTGGTTGAAAGCTTCACTTTTGACCAATAATTAACTTAGTCCTTTCAGTTTTTATCTGTTAAATGTTTTAATAATCACCACATCTTTTAGGTATTGTACTTATCATGGAGAGTGATTTCTTAAGCAGTGGGTAATCTCTCTCTTTACAGCTTGGAATGACAGAGAGGGTCACCTGCCAACCAATGAGAAGAATAGAAGGAGACGGACTAACGTCCTGAGACGTCCCAGGTTTAATCTACTTACCTGTTATGCAAGCCAACGCAGGACCTAACCCCTCATTATAGCAGTGGTAACGAACCTGTTTTCCTGTCATCTGAAGTAATTACTCACGGCCACACACTGTGAAGAACGAGCCGGTGGTGGTCACCAACACCTGCTACCCCCCCCCCATCAGCAACTGCTATGATTTCAACAACACGCAGTGTCACCAACACCTGACACCCCATTACCACGATATACCTATATTAGCATTGAGTTCAAATGTAATTTTTTTTTTCATTTCATTTTTCATTTTTCTTTCAATTAGGATACTCATTCATGTTTTATTGTTTTAAATTTTCCGTTTCTAAATAATAAAGTGTTTATCATTGTCTGTTATTATTTCTTTTTCTATTCATTGATTTTCCTGAGGAGGAGCCAGCCTTGGTAATACTGACTGAAGTTGTTACAGGGCTGAGTAAGCCTTCACACGCACATGCTCAGCTATCATTTGATACTGCTGCTTGACCTTCCACCCAACAACAGCAGCCAACGTGCTCCATGATGCAGGACCAGACTACAGACGTATCATCCGTAATATCCCAGCAGTCACCAATGAAGAGCACTATAGCCCAAGGGAACAGAGCAAGCAATTCTGTGTTTCCCCAGGGCCATCAAATGATGTAGTCAATCAAGTGCTTCACTGAAATCATATGCTACCTGATAGACTCAGAAGAAAACTAAGAAACATTCAGAACTATAGTAAAAACCTTCTTGAATATATGCATGATTAACAAAAGAGTCCATGGTTAATTTGCAAATTTACCCGACCATCCAACATAGGACTCACAGACAATGATGGGGGGGGGGGGCTGAGTACTTCACTCCACTGTAGTACATAAAATGTTTTGCTGTGACACACACAGGGACTACAACAAGACCCTGACAGCGGCCACAGAACAGCTGAATTAAATGAACATCTTTAAGAACCTCAGACGGGTCATCTTAGGATTAAGACCTGTGCCAGGATGCAGCTTCTGACGAATCAATCAAACAACAACTATCGTATGTCAGTGTGATTTGTAAATGGTCCAAGTCTGACTGAAACGTCGCAATAAGCTTCTCTCTTCTATGAGCCGGATATTTGTACATTGTAGTTTTTAGAACTCTAACTTTCTATAATTTTGTAAATCTTATTTGAAGAGATAGAGAATATTACACTTATGTAAAGCATGCTGGTGTTTATTTCAATGCCATATTTATTAAAAAACCGTAAACGGTCCAAACGTATATATACGTTTTTTCAACATTTGAAAGTATGTAAAAAAAGCAGATCTTCTTTTTGCTTTTTTACATTTGAAAATGTTATATTTAAAAATATGTAAAAAAAAAAGTAGATCTACTTTAGTAGCACTACACATGTGAACTTAGATCTGCTTGGACCGTTTACGGGTTAATAAATAACGTTGTTTTCCCAGATGTGTGGTGCCAAACTGTGATGACAACAGTAGCCATTACGAGGAGATCTTCACAGAGTGGGCCATCCCAGAGGGTGACCAGTGTCATGTCTGGACACTCAAGGACAACATTACTGACCAATGTCAACCAGATGTATTTTCTAACTCAACTACATCTTGCTCACAGTGGGTTTATGATACATCATTGTTCTCTGCAACTACTGTCACTCAGGTTTGTCAGATTGTATGTTATATTTGTTATGTTAAATTATAATATTTTACATGGATATTATTAGTTATATTATATTGTATATTACGACTAGTGTAAGTAAAACTGCCGATTAAGCCGAATTGGGTAGTTTGGTCTATAAAACAAGGTTGTCTTCTGCCAAATTAGCTGAGAGAAAATTTGCTTATTGAGTAACTCTGCTAAATTCAGTCTCAGCATTATGATAAATATGTACATCATTGATTTAAAATAATCTTTATTGCATATATATTGACTTGGGATAAATAGTAGAATTTAGCAAAAGCCAACTGCATTAGTTTAACTGCGGTTAGGTAACGTACTAACTTAGTTTTTGTTCAAAAATAAAAATCTTTATGTTACTGACAACGAAAGAAAATTATCTATCAGTAATTTTTTTTTAATGTTTAATTTCTTTTAGGGAGCTCGGTTTATTCGGCCAGTTCGGCTTTTTACATATGACATATGTCGTGCCAAAATTGTAAAATTGGTCAGTTAGCAAGAACTCATTTAAAATAAGTAAAATTAAGTCCTTCCCAAAATTTTCTCTTATACGTTTAAAGATATATGATGTTGATTTTTGTTAATGTAAAAATTAATAATTTTGTACCAAAAGAACCTTAGAAAACTTTCCTAACCTATTTATAACAATCACAATAAAATTTAATCTAATCCAACGAAATATATTTTAGATAAGTTTACAGTTATTTAATAAAAACAAACACAATGAAATATATTTTTTCGAAAAGTTCACAATGATTTTTGCTTAATTACTGCAATAACAAATTTTTGCTTGCTTTATTCGGCAAGAAGAGCATTGCTATTTAAGCCAATATCGCAAGTTTTACCTATTCAGCACAACACCTTTATATATATATATATATATATATATATATATATATATATATATTATATATATATATATATATATATATATATCGTGCCGAATATGTGAAACTGGTCAATTAGCAAGAACTCATTTAAAATTAAGTCCTTTCTGAAATTTTCTCTTACACGTTTAAAGATATATTTTTTTTCATCAATGTTAATGTAAATATTTATAATTTTGGACCAAAAGAATCTTAGAAAACTTACCTAACCTTATTATGATAAGTGTAATTTATTTTAGCCTAACCCAACTAAATATATTTTAAATACGTTTACAATAATTTAGTACTAAACAAACACAATCAAATATATTTTTTTCGTTAGGTTCAGAATGATTTTGGCGAAATTATTGCATACACAAATTTTCACTTGTCCTATATGGCAAGACGAGCGTTGCTATTTAAGCCAAGATCGCAAGTTCTGCCTATTCGGCACGACATATATATATATATATATATACATATATTTATATATATATATATATATATATATATATATATATATATATATATATATATATATATATATATATATATATATATATATACATGAGGAGGTTAATAATATTATCAAGAGGAGCCTCACAACAGCTGGATGCCCAGCAGTAAGGGAGCCACCCCAACTATGCAGATCTGATGGCAGCCAGAAGCGTCCAGATGGTATCACCCTTCAAGCCTGGACAGATGGGAAGCAGGTGGTGTGGGACTATACATGTGCATCTACCTTGGCTGATACCTATCTCCAATACACCAGGGAGGAAGGAGGGGCAGCTGCCAGCTTCAGGGAGTCCCAAAAGTCTAGAAAATATGGAGAACTTGCCCATCATTATATGTTTGTTCCCATAGGCTCAGAGACCCTTGGCTCATGGGGAAAGAGTGCATCTAAATTCCTTAAGGAGCTGGGAAAAAAGACTCATCAGGGTAACTAGGGATCCCAGGGCAGCTAGTTTTCTGTTCCAGCGGCTCAGTGCGGCTGTTCAAAGGGGTAATGCCTGCTGTATTTTGGGCACACGCCCCAGCTCTGAGGAGCTGGATGAGATTTTCGCCTTATAATCGGTGATACACACGTAACAACATGTACCGTATGTGCCACCTTGATATCAATAGTGTATCTCTTGGATCTTCTGTACCATATTATGTAATAATATATATATATATATATATATATATATATATATATATATATATATATATATATTATATATATATATATATTATATATATATTTATATATATATGAGTGTACATAAATGGAGAAAAAAAATAGGAATGACTTATGGAGCAGTAGTGCCACCAAACAGTTCCAGCAGGTTGGTGTGGCGAACCTGGAAATTTGAAATTATGCTAGCCGAAATTAGTGCCGAATAACTGATGGAACCGGATGTCTGATTGTCGGATATGTGATGGCGGAAATGTAATATATACAGGAGAAGAGGTTACAAGCACCTTCCTCCCTGCATTTCAGTCCTGTGGGTTAGAGCGTCATGTGACTTTCGCTCACCATGAGGCGGCGACTAGCCAAAACATATATATATTATATATATATATATTATATATATATTATATATATAATATATATATATATATATATATATATATATATATATATATATATATATATATATATATGTGTGTGTGTGTGGTGTGTAAGAATGTAAGAACACTGCGACTACCCAAGGACTCGAACCCATGGTGTTTTGGCCTGACTCGTGGTGAGCGAAAATCACATGATGCTCTAACCCACAGGACCACCAAATCCTGCAAGAACCAATCACCCATTGGAAATATAAACACATATGCAGTATAATGTGATCCTTTATTGACTACGTTTCGCCCACACAGTGGGCTTTTTTCAAGTCACAAACAGATCTACCTGGGGTGGAAGGGACGCGAGTATTTATAGTCAGGTTCAGAATGCTGAGGTCAGGTGGAGAATGCTGCATCTGATGATGTACCGAGTGGGGTTATAGAGTCTAAAATCTTGGGTAGCTTGTAAATGAGATTGGATAAGTTTGTGAGCAGACCTTCTACAGTGTTCTTATGTGGGATAGCGATGAAGAAGTTTCTTGGCAAGTGGTTCAGCTATGTTATAGAAGCCACTATTCTGGTTGAAGTTGTCGGATATAGAAATAAGTGATGATTCCAGGATTCTTCGGTATTGAGTGTTGTCTTCTGTGGCGATGAGTCTTGAGTTTCTGTAGTTTATCAAGTGGTTGTGTGAATTACGGTGTTGTACACAGGCATTCCTTGTGTCGTCAGACCTGCTTGCGTATTGGTGTTCTGAAATATGTGTTTGGAGGTCCCTTGATGTTTCGCCCACGTATAACTTGTTGCAGTCATTACAAGGGATTATGTATACCCCTGCAGAGGGCGGAAGCTTGTCCTGTCTATCACTGGTAATGTCCTTGATGGTCGTGGTTGTGGAGGTAGATACTTGAAATGAGGTATTGGAAAAGATGTTGGAAACGTGTTTGGCAATGGAGTTGGTGGGGAGGACTATGTATCTCTTGTCGGCAGTGTCTTCTCTGGGTGTGTTGAAGATGTTTAATGCCCGTCGTCTGCAGTCTCTGATGAAGTGACGAGGATAGTGGAGTTTAGAAAATACTTGTTCAATTATCGTGCATTCTTCTTCAAGGAACTCATTGCTGCAGATTCTGAGTGCACGCAGAAAGAAGCCTATAATTACACCACGTTTGGTTTTGGTGTCGTGGTGAGAGTAAAAGTGGAGAAGGTCGTTTTGGTTGGTGGGTTTTCGATAGACTTTAAAACGAAGTTCGTGGTCAGCTTTGCAGAGCAGAACATCAAGGAAAGGAAGGGTGTTGTCGACTTCTTCTTCAAGTGTGAACTGGATTGAAGGCTCGACCTGGTTGAGCTTGTCTTGGAGAGCTTGAACGTTGAAGCGTTTAGAAGTTATGAGGAGAATGTCGTCAACATAACGGAGCCAGGTGACAGACGAAGGAATAATGGTGGAGAAACGTTCGGCTTCTAGATGTTCCATGTATAGGTTCGCCAGGACCGCACTGAGTGGCGAACCCATGGGTAGTCCAAAAGTCTGCTGAAAGAGGTGATTTTCGAAAGAGAAACACGTAAAGCCAACACATAGTTCAACAAGGTCGATGAAATCGCTGGCAGGAATGGGAAGGTCAAGTGAATCGTCAATTTTCCTGCGCAAGAGATCAATGGCTTGTGTAGTAGGTACTTTGGTGAATAGGGAAGTCACGTCAAGGCTGGAAAGTTTCTTGTTCCTGATGTTGATGTTGAGAATGCGATTGAGAAGATCACCCGAGTGTTTGAGATGTGCTGGACTGATAGTGCCCAAGAGTTTAGAGAGGTGTTTTGCGAGAATTCCTGAGAGCTGGTGGGGAGCACTGCCTATTCCCGAGGATATGGGCCTCAGTGGGATACCAGGCTTGTGAGTTTTTGGCAGGCCGTACATTCTGGCAGGTCTGGGGTTGCTGGGCATGGTGTGCAGAAGTTTCTTCCCTTGTTCTGAGCCCCTCAGAATGCGGCGAGTCCTTTGAAGAAAAGTTTTAGTAAGGTTGTCCACTTGGTTAGTTGTGAGAGGTTTGTAGGTATCTGGGTCATTAAGTAGATTGAGCATTTTGTTCCTGTAATCGTCAGTGTTCATGATAACAACACCACCTCCTTTATCAGCGGTGGTGACCCTGATGGTCGTGTCTTCTGCTAAACCTTTGAGTGCATTGATGTAACGTCGAGGTATGACTGGGGAGCTGCGTGTTGAGACAAGCTCAACCAGGTCGAGCCTTCAATCCAGTTCACACTTGAAGAAGAAGTCGACAACACTCTTCCTTTCCTTGATGTTCTGCTCTGCAAAGCTGACCACGAACTTCGTTTTAAAGTCTATCGAAAACCCACCAACCAAAACGACTTTCTCCACTTTTACTCTCACCACGACACCAAAACCAAACGTGGTGTAATTATAGGCTTCTTCCTGCGTGCACTCAGAATCTGCAGCAATGAGTTCCTTGAAGAAGAATGCACGATAATTGAACAAGTATTTTCTAAACTCCACTATCCTCGTCACTTCATCAGAGACTGCAGACGACGGGCATTAAACATCTTCAACACACTGAACAT